TGAAGCGGGGGGCTGCGTAAAATACGCGGGCGGGCTCGGGGGCTCCCACCACAGCTTGAGGTTGGCGGTGAGGACCGCTCTGCCACCGGCCGTTCTCTCGAACAGCGCTCGGCCGACCCACGCGTGCTCGCTCTCGGGCAGTGTGGCGGCCCAGCCCTTTGGGAGCACGCCCTGCTGCTTTGGCGCCAACAGCTGTGCTGGCGTATCACCGCTGGCCCAGAGCGCGTGGGCGGCAGCGCCGCTGGCAGACGAAGTGGAAGCCTGGGACGCTGGTGGCGAGATGAAATAAAGTCACTTCTCACTTTAATTTCTCTGTCTGTGCATCTCCCGCCCCCCGACCGACACAATGAAGTCACTCACACTGAGACTCCACCTCCATGGCAGCTGCGAGGAGGACGTCGTCCGATGGCTCGGACAGTGCTGACGGCCGCTCGCTCGTGGCTGTACAGAGATGCAAATTGGCGCAATCATGCGGCCATTCGAGGTCAGTCGTTGGAGATACAGAGATGCAAATTGGCAGAATGTGGGGCCGTTTGGACCCATGAGTCGTTTACCTGGACGAGACACTTTGTAATTTGCCTCATTGTCTCGCCCCACAATGTAGGCGTTCAAGTTGTGCAAGAAAGAGCCCGGCGTAGCAGTCACTGTGCGTATGTGACGCACATACCTACACACAGAAACCAAAAACGAAAAATACACGAGTTAGTTAAGCAATGACAAGTTTTCCCCTCCCCATACATAAACAAAGGCAATTTACGCTCGGTGCCGCTCATCAGTCGACTCGTAGAGAGAAGAGTAGCTTTCGCCGGGGAACTGTCCCATTTTCAGCAGTTGCTGATCGAGCTCCCTGACCAACGGCGCTCCCATCACCATCAGCCGATGCCGCACGACAACGGCCATCTCCGGGAAGACGTGAGCGTACAACGCCAGGGCATCTTTGTTGGCTGCCAGGGCTGACTGCGACATGTCGCCGTTGTCGCGCTCCTTCTGGTGAGAGGCCACAACCATGGCGCAGTAGCCCACATCATTTTCAAGGAGCCACTTGAATGTTTGGCCCCGGTACTGGCCAAACTGGAGCGTCGTCTCGCTATTCGAGGTCAGTCGTTGGAGATACGGCCTCCTCCTTCACCAGGGAAGCGCTCTTGCAGGTGGAAGCAGCAGGCTTCGATCTATAACAATAAATAAGGTGTATTAGCCTACTTTGCAATGACGCTTTTGAAATGAAAGCATGGATGTACCTACCTGTATGCTTTGGCCAGCTTTGTTGCCTCAGCGGTGCACTGCAGCCGTAAATACTTCATACCGGGTGGCATGAACACAAAGTTGGGCTTGAAATCCATTGCCTACCACACGCGTGCACGCACACACACACACACACACACACACACACACACACACACACACACACACACACACACACGGCACTTATTTTATAGGCCAGTGATTCGAAGACTTTTGAGCTGGTCAATTATACATATCAGGTCAAAAAACTGTTTGTAAAACGTGTTCGACTGGGGTAATTGCGATATATGTGGCTTTTCTTTCTTTTTTTTAATCCATCGCATTCATTCGCGCATGAATATGCTCCCCCCTCAATTATACATATCAGGTCAAAAAACTGTTTGTAAAACGTGTTCGACTGGGGTAATTGCGATATATGTGGCTTTTCTTTCTTTTTTTTAATCCATCGCATTCATTCGCGCATGAAAAAAACACTTCCCCCTTTGTATTTACTTTCAAACATGTACATCGGTAATGCGTTCGACTGGGGTAATGGTTTCGTCTTCTCCTTGAAAGTATTCCAGCGATATATATTTGGAGTGTTGAAAATACATGCCATTACAACATTTGTGAGGGGGTGAGAGAACAGAAAATGTAAAAATACAGTAACTGAGCATACGTTAGCGTAATTCGTTCGACGCATTCGCGCCCGATACAGTACTCAACCAAACTTACCAGAAGGGTGATTCCGAGAGTCTCGATTGTTGGTGAGTTTAAACAACGATGTGAGTTTAATATTACGACCGGTAATATTGACCAAAGTTGATAGAATGAATCGCGGAGCGAGCGAGGGCGATGACGAGGGCGGTGCGCTCGGTAGGACATGAGCCAATGGGAGCAGATTACCATTTCCTTGTCGTCAGCGATTGGATGAGGCCTAAAAGAGGAAGTCGACCAAACTGGAGGGTACAGTGTGTGTCTGATGTGGTGTACGTTCGCCATTGGTCGGTTTCCTAAATTAGTAACTTACGTTTTGAACCAATCACAATAGGAAAAG